CGAGTTCTCTGAGAAATCTTCGCGCGATACGTTTCAAAAATCGAAAAGTGGAGTTCGAAGGAAATTCCCTCGCCGCTTACGTTACATAAAAAGTCGAAATCCCTCGTTAAAACCTCGAAACTGGAACTAGAAAATCTCTTCGAAATTTAAGAAAATATCAGAGTTCAAGGAATAATCAAATAGGAACACGGTGCACTCTCGGTGGGAAATCAGAGCCGCCGAAATAAGAAGCTTAACTTCAAACTATTTCGAAGTCAATTTTCCCGAAAGAGGTTTCCAGGTCGACACATCGGTTGCCTCCTCATCGATACCAATATATAACACTCTCTCTTCCAATTTTTCAAATTCCTGCTTGACAAAAATGCGAAACTGAGGAAACCACTCCATCAGCTAAATGTATGGTCGGTGTAAGAAGCTTAGGAAGTTCAATGGAATTTTTATACGAAGAATACTTCTCTTTGTGCTTCGCAAAACTTGTTCGTTATAGTTTTTTTTATATAAATTCTTTAACTCTTCGGCTGTCCCGTTTCCTCTTAGATTTTGCTGTAATTTTTAATTTGAATACTTATTCCGCAAAGTAACGCAGTGGAATATCTTAAATTAAAATACTTTAGAATATACATCTGGATTAATTTTTCTTAATCCAAATGATGAAATTGAAAAGTGATTATATTACAAAAATTATTTTCTAATATTCATAATCTTCTATGTAATTAGATTACAGTAAATGAACTTATGGAAATAAATTATTCCTTTTTGAATATATTATTCGACACTAAATAGAAATAAGAGATGTAATTGCTCAATGATCGGTTTTCGAAAGATGTTTTCTTATTTCATACGGTTGTTCACGAAAATATCCGGACAATTGTAAGAACTTTCCATCGTAACGTATATAGCTAAAAATTATTGTAATATAAATGTGTAATAATTATTGAAGTAATAATCATTGTAATACAAACGTGTAATGATACGATGATACCGTGTTATGTAAGCGAACACTTTCGCAAGCCACTGGACATACTTGCAAGCTTATTCAACTCGGAAAGTTACGAAAGGTGTCGATGTTAATTTTATAAGGAACGATAATGGAGGAGAGGCCGGACCACGGATGGAAAAGGAAAAAGAAGAAAGAAAGAAAGACGCCGAAGAATCCGGATCACCTTCCAGCCAAGTCAAGTGCACGGCCAAGGTGAAGGAACTCGGGTCAGATGAGCGGCGCGATTAGAAGTGGCTGTACGTATCTCGCGTGTATCTCTTAATACGCGTCGAAGCTCGTGGTCGCGCTTGTCCGCGCGCGTGTAGGCGTACCGTGACGAACGAGCCGCGGAGAGGTCGGTAGATTACGCGCGGCAGATCCCATAAAATCACCTCATTATCGACCTCAATCCTCCTCACTTCTTTATTTCTCGATAATTCCTTCGATCCCTTTCCGCTTTCGCGAACTTTGTTTCCTTCTCTTGGAGTCGGGACCATTTTATAAACTTTATGAATTTTACAATTTCTGTTCTCGTTTCAAGTCTGTTAATTTTATTTTTGTTTTATAAAGATCTCTTGTTTCTGTTATATATATATATATATATATATTCCAATGTGTTTATATTTTGACATTACATTCCATTCCAATATGTTTATATATTTTGACATACGAAAGAATAAATATATTTGATTTTTGTTAATATGGTAGATCGTTTTAAGTTCCTTAAAATTTATTTTAAGAATTTTGAAGAATTTTATTTTTATTATAAATTTGGTACAGGTACGAAGTAATATATATAAATAAAACAAAAATAATTTATTACTGTTATACATCAAATCCAATACTTCCATCAATTTCAATTTTCTTAAATTCTCACGTTGTGGTTTTGAAATTTCATATCTGTACAATGTACACATTGAAATTTCATTTCTAAAATAAAATTTCATAACGTCATGCTTTCTAAATACAAGATTTTTATTTTCTCATTACCAACAAACGTTTTAACTCTTTCCATTTTAGATTTTGGTCTTCCAATTTAAGTTGCAATCTCAACGATTCATTTTTTCTTCCAGTTCTTTTTTTTTTCATTAAGATATCGTGAACGCAAGCTGTCTCAAAGTTAAATATAGAAACCTAATTGATGCTTTATTCTTTTTTTTTTCTTTTTGCAAGTAGAATGCATACGTGACTTGCAGAGATCGCAGAGCAAAGGTTTATGAGTCTACCAATTTCTTTTTTTTAATCTATAAAAAAGCTCGACGGATTTCTTTGCAATATGTCGTCGAAGTGAATTGGCATTTGGCAATCCACTTTCTTCTTTCGTTCCAATAATAAATGTATGAAAAGAAACGAATATAACGAGCTTCGAAAAAAACGTTTAACATTTCAACTCATTATAAGTCGGTCCCAACTAATTGGAAATCCGTGTCTGATAGATTACGAAACTTTTTCAAGCCTGAATTCAAAAAAATGTCAGTTCTTACTGTTAGTTTAGTATTTCAATCAAGTCGACAATATAATTATTATTACTTTGTTATTACTTTTACAAATTGTTCGTTGTTATCTGTATTCAAATACAGAAAGATACGAATAACTGTACTAATTGCACGATTTCAAAACGGGGATCTGTATCTGCTTTAAGAGAATGTGTTGTGACACTTCCAATTTTAAATTCTGACATTTTACCAAGTATCGGCGTTCGAATATCGTAAAAATGGCATTTATCGGTATATTTATTTCTCTTGATGGTCAGTTTAATTCATTACACGTGAGAACGATCAGGTTTGTGATCGATCTCGACGGCCGTGCCATGTTTATAGTGACAATATTCAGTGGTGCGATAGAGATGCTGCCCTCGAAGTTGCAGATAAGGAAACAATTGGTTTATTACGCCGTGTAAAACAAGATTAAACGTAATATATTCTCACGTTAATCCTTCGTAATCAGAATTGCTTCGTAAGCAGAATTAAAATCCATTTTTCATAAAACATATTTTTCATTCTAAACTTGAAACAATCTGCCGTATCTACTTTTCCTCGTAATAAGGCGATTCTAAATTTTGTGCATGGCTACGTACAATTTACTTTTCCATATACCTTTTCTCGTTAAACTAGAAACGTAATCCTCTTAAAAAATTTCTTCTCGCGATACTTAAGAGAATTCAATGGCCACTAAATTTTAAATGTAACTAACCCACTTTCCCACATATTCCTTACCTTAAATTTATCATAAAATAATCTATATTCCTCTTAAGAAATTCTATGTACGCAAGATTCTATACTACAAAATTCTCTCTGCAATCCGATTCTTCCGGATGATTCTTTCTTCAAACTCGAAATGATTTATATTCTTCTCGAAACATTTCTACGAAATTCCCACCCTGCGATATCTAGAGAATTCAATGGTCCCTAAACGTTGAGTAGAGCGGTAGAGGAGTGCTTGAAATTGCCCGCAGAGAGAGACAGAGAGAGAGGAGCGCGGCATTGAGAAGGTTGGCGCGCGTGTCTTTTGCGGTCGTCATTTTTCTCCGACCGGTTACTGTTACTTTACGGGGCCGCGAATGATACGGGGCCCGGCCAAGACGACGAAGGCGGAAAAGAACGACGATTCGCACTCGAGATAATAGAAACGTCCAGCCGGTACTTCTGATAAAATGGCCAGCATACGTTATGCGAACGCGACATAGTTCGTCGCTCCATAACGGGAAACGTAATAACCAGGCTTGTTTATGCAAATATTTATATTTTTCAAAATATAATACCAAAAAGAAAATAGAATCTCGATGGAAAATTGTTTTTATAGATTTTTTTTTTTTATAAAAAAATTTTTCAAAATTTCTTGTAAATGCAGTAGTAATAACGACGAAGCTCCAGATTTCAAATAACGATTTTAAGAGTGTTTTTTTTCTTTTTTTATAGTTATTAACACTCAGGAGAATTGGCACGGGGAGATCTGTAATTTTTGAAATTGAAAATAAAAATGAAGTTTTAGAGTGAAATATCAAGTGAAGTATGAATTGAATAAAAATTTCAAATTGTATTCGTTTACAAACAAATTATCTCAAGACACGTTCTTTTTAGTATCTTTAATATATTTGGGAAGTAGTTTACGATTTTTCACGATTGGTTAGAAAAAATTTTAAGATATCGATTTTGAGATGAATTCCAAGTATATTCTTTTTACGAAGTCACTCTAGGAAACTCATTTTTAATATAGTCGGCCTAATATCTAACATCTAATACGTTCGATTTCTTTGGTTTGGTCTTCCGTTCAATTTCTCCATTTCCAGAGAAAACTGAAAGAGCAGAAATAGAACTCGAAGGTATTCGTTCAGAAACGAATTTTCTCGAATTTTATTTGCCACAGAATATCTAGAATATTTACTTTACATTTTCTAAATATATCCAAGACAGAAGAAGCTCGGATTTGTACTTTTTTTGCAGTGATTTTATTTTCCATTAATTTTGAAAATTTCATATATCTCTTTGTATTACGTGTCGTGTATGTATCATTTGGCACTTAAAAATTTCCCATAAAAGTCTGGGGACGATTTAATTCTGTCTAAACGAGGATTCGGCGATTTATTTCACTGCGAGCGAGTACTCGATTTCTATTTCCAGAGTAGGAGAAGTTGATACTCTGGTCTTGCAATTAATCCAATATCGGAGAAGGAATATCAACTTCGAAGTCGCGTTCGTGCCCTTTCTACCCGATAACAACGCCTACGCGACTTGTAGAAGGCACCATGCGACTTGCTTTGTCAATCAGGTTTCCTCCGAAGTTTCCTAGAACAAAGAAGGTTAATTGTTTCATTAACAGATTGCGAAATTAATTTGTCTTTCCATTTGTATTTCAAACTGTACGTTTTCTCCTCCCGATAAAAATCACATGGAAAATATTTTTTAACTTTCGTATTAGAAATGATAGATGCAATTTTAAGTATCAATTTTTATTTTCTTTTTTTCCTTTTTCTTTTTTTATTGAAATCACTATTCATTATGTTCTTCAAAATTGCAGAAATCGAGGAAATTTCTAGATATTGCATTTTGAATTGTTCCTCTATAATCTTCTGATAACCTTTCGATAACAATATTATCACTACGTGAGAAATATGAACGAACTCAAACAAGTACATCACTTTTTTTCAACAACAAGTAAATGCATAATTTCAAAGCCCTCTTTTGTAAATTTTGTAAAAAATATGCAGTAATCATTGCAGTAATTCCAGGCTTTAAACAGGTTGTTCTTTTGTTAACATTAGAATCACCGGCGAAAGAAATGTAAACCTTATAATTTATAATACAAGCATTTCGATTCATGCATTTTGCACTGTCGCGAATTTAGAAAATTTCTGTGAAAAATTGCGAGAGAATTGATCACATTTCGACTGCTTTGACACGTTGCGGCCCGCGTAGAAACACTAGACTTGCAAAATTTCGCCCGCTACAAAGTGACTTGCTCGTCACTGGTTCGGATAAATGCCAAACAAGCCTCTAATTAGACTGGCGGTGGTCGAACGGTGTGATAAACAGCGAGGATCCACGACTCTCTCGTGAACCCGATTCGTGGATCGCGATGGCGTCGGCAAGCGTAGTGTGTAGCACGATCGTGTGTAGTACAAGGAAGAACTAACCGAGAGAGATCACCACCGGCTAACTAACGATTCCATTTGCTGATTGGCCAGCCATCCGGAGCGAACTTTTCTTCATCGCCGCCCACGAGAGGCTTTTTAAACGCGATAAACCGCAAGGTTGCCTAGCCTGTTCGCTGATCAATTAAGATCAATCGGTCTCGCGCTCCTTCGTTTTACTTTTAACTCGAGTTCCTCGCTGAAAGCAGGAAGAAAACTCCTCGCGGTTGCTTTGAAGGATCATCCTTTGGTCTCTCCTTTCCTGTTTTTATTTCCCTTTTTCTTCCCCTCCTTCTCCCCCCTCCTCTTTTTTTTTTATCTTTACTTTCGCGTGGAGGAAAGAAGGGGATTATGGCTCTGAGGAGATGGTTCCACGATGGTCGAAGAAGATATCGGAAATACATTTTTTAAAAGTCGCCGGGGAAAATATTCGAGTGAATGATTCAAACATATTCTTTCAGATATATAATCTTTATTTCAGTTTAATTCATAGACGTGTAACGTTGCGGTTCAGAATTTCGCGATCACAGTCAAATAAACGGGAGAATAACGCAATCTTTCCTCATGAATACTTCGAGAGGAAAATTTCACGTGAAGCTACTACGCAAAGTAGAATTTATTACGAGTGATAATGTCTGAGAAACGATCGTCTCTGAGAAACCGATGGAACAACGCAATGCAACTCTTTTTCAAAAGATTTTCCAATCCTAAATATTATACAAAATAGAATAAAATACAAGGTAGGACACTAAAAATAAAAATTACTACCATTCGGAAATCTTTCCGTCAATCCGTAACGCGGGCTTTCTTCGCGAGTTAGTCTCGACGACGACCAGAAGCCCTTAGAAACACTTAGAAAATTTCAATCTCTGGATTTATCATAAAAATACCACTCGAAAAGTTCAGTCGCTGTTCTTGAATTCCAATCAACATTCGAACCAAACAACGCAACGCAAGGGCGAAGAACGTGAAATCTCTGCCCGCGAATTATTCAGAGACGATCTTCCTCGACACTGTGTTGCGATCAGCTTCCCCCTTGCCCTCTCCCTTTCCTCGAGCGGGTTGTTCTCGAGAAAAAATGAGCATACTTACGCAAGAGGAGGACGCTTGGTAGAGAGCAGGCAAGCATTGTATGAGCGGCGGAACGCTGCTCGGTGCGTAGCGTGGCCTTTTACGGCGCGAGCGAATTTTTCTTCTGCGGCTTCGTTTTCCCCTTCGGCCGGCGAGCGACGTCGATTTCGACCGTCGAATGCGAATCGATCACCGAATCCGGTCTCTCTGTACAAGCGCGGAAGCCACCAGATGGCCACCGGCTGAAAAACCGGCTGATTTACGGGGAGATCGGCGCGCAACGCGCTTGTCGTACGAATATTTTTCGACGATTCGCTCTTTGAACAGCCCCTGTGATCGGCCCTTCGCACTTTTGCCCGCGATGATTTACGATTATTTCGAATAATACGCCATAAATCTCGTAACGCTCCCGTTCCCGATAAGCACCGCGCGAACGTGTACGAAACTGATAGAAGGATCGATCATCTCGATGTTTAGCGCGCTGTTGATTTTTTTCTTCTTCTTTTTTCTTTTCTTGTGGATTGTTCACCGGGGGGGGGGGCAGGGAGTAGGAAATGGATTTTTCTTTTTTTTTTCTACTTTTCGGTCCGTATGTTTTGTGCCTATTCGATCTCAATCCTTTGATTCAATCTATGCTTCCAAAATTTGATTTTATATTGTATTTTACGTTCTTCGCGATAGCGATTGCAATTGCAGAGATTATTAGATTTATTAGAGAGATTATTGTCATCTAATTATTGTTAGATTTATTGGAGAGGCGCAATTAAATTGTATATTCTAAAATTAATTGTAATTTAATTGTAATTCAACTCTGCAATTGGTATTGCTTTCAACGATCCAATTAAGGTTGTTGTTTTATTGTGTTTAGTTTATCAAGGAATGAGAACACGAATGCAAATGGTACAAGTGATTTTAATCTAACGTGATATTTTATTCGAGACAAAGGATTTTGCTTCGACTTTGGAATTTCAATTGAAATAGTTTTATGCAAATCGTACAAATGATTTTAATTGACTGAAATTTTTAGTTGGGCACAGAACACGTAACAAATAAAATTGTTTATAATTGGATATGTGATAAGATTCTCGGACTTTTCTGATTTGAAATTAAATAATTTGAAATTAGATAATTTCGATAGATGAGTTTTTATATACTTAGAATTTAAATTACTTGAATTATAATTATAAAATTATTAGACATTCAATGATACTCCAACGAACTGACTCAATCAAAAGATCACTTGCAAGTGATTCGCTGTGTTTGTTTAAACACAAAAGAAATTTATTCGATCAATGGGAATGATTTGTTATTTCAAGTTGTCTTCTTTATCTTTAATCTTTGTTCTGCGAATAAAATTTGCTTAATCCTGCTTGTAAACCAAGCTACTAACGCCACGAGCAATGAAGCGAGCTGAACAAGTGACGAGATGGAAGTTGACTTCAACTTCACCCGAGCATCCAACTTTCGAGTAGTTTGAAAGCACTGAACGAAGCACATTTTCGCGGATTTGTCGAATAACAGTAGTTTAAGAATATCGCATGTACTGAACGAGAGAGAGTGTCGATAAATTTTTAAAATCATAATGGTCCCGGGACAAAGAACAGAAAAACATTTTGATAGAAATCTAAAAAAGTAAGTAGTGTTTTAACGACATTGTATAAAAAAATGCGCTGACGGACTTTTAAAGTCACGATGGTCCGAGAATATTGCAGGAGTTTTGTGACCAATTTGTAAAATAATTTCGTTTTGATATTTTCCAATGAGTTTGCAAAATATTGTAATCATCGCTCTTAACTGTGCTCCATCCTGATAAATATTCTGCGAAGTTTCTCAGGTAATTATTACTATATCGTAAGATTTCAATTTCTCTGATATGAGTTTTCGATAGTTCCAGTATTGATTAAATTTCATTCACTTGGGCCGAAATTCTGCTGATCGAAACGAAACAAAGGAATATGGCTAAACATTTTTTAACGTTGGACGAAAGTCGAGATTTATCTTCCTCGAGAGCACGAAGATAGAAAATATTTCTATCGTTTCGCAGTAGTTGAAGTTTCGATGTTGAAACGTTCCGAAATGGAATCGCGGTATTATTTCCTGTGCTACATGTACTCTAACAGAGAGACGGGGAGAGCGGCCTAGAATTTTCCACAGACCCCTTTCGCGTATTTTATGAAATTTCTCAGACGTTCTACCCAAACCATTAAATAAAATTTTCTAACTTCTGCTGCAAGAGAATTCTTTGCTCGCTAGAAGAGTACAAACAAAACCGAGGGTCCACGTTTTAATTTATTTTCCCCAACGAGGA